TCAAGAACCTGGATGGATGGAATGGGCTCAAGAACTTGGATGGATGGAATGAACTGAAGAACTTGGATGGATGGAATGGCTCAAAGACCTGGATGGATGGAATGGGCTCAAGGACCTAGATGGATGGAATGGGCTCAAGAACCTAGATGGATGGAATGGGCTCAAGGACCTGGATGGATGGAATGGGCTCAAGCACCTGGATGGATGGAATGGGCTCAAGAACCTGGATGGATGGAATGAACTGAAGAACTTGGATGGGTGGAATGGGCTCAAGGACCTGGATGGATGGAAAGGGCTCAAGAACAGGCTTCCTTATAATAAGCTGATGATACAATGTTACAGGATTTGGAGAGGCAATAACCATGTAATGCCGGTGAAATGATGGAGGACACTTTGGTGAGGAAGTGCCTCGCAGATGAATATTTGAAGTATTGGATATTTCGTGGGGTTCAAAAGGGCAAAAGGGGTCCAGGGAAAGAATATCTATTGACAGCAGGAGAGGGGAGGGGTGAGGTCCAGAAAATATGTTACTCCACCTCGGTGGAGCAAAGTATGGGATCCCTTCAGGGGAAGGAGTGCTGAGACTACAGAATGCATGGACTGCAACCAGGTGACACAACTTTCACATGCTTCGTACAAGAAAAGCCTCTTTGCCTCTCTGTGTGACGTCCATCGGGGACAATGTAACTTTATTCCTCGTCTTCTACAGCAGCAGACCAACGAAGGGTTAATCTAGAAACTGGAAAGACGGCATTTTCTCTTTATGAGATTTGAGGAAGGGAGGACTCCCCTGACTACAGCAAAACCTACAGACAGACACATCACCAATGAGCACGAGACCTGAGGGCTCCTCCAGATCGGACGTCGCGAGGTCCTGGGCTGCAGAGCTTACAATCTATTCTGCGGGGGGAGATACAAGTCTATAGACGCCACTCATGATCTGTGCGGTTTGTATCTGAATAGTGACCTGCAAAGCTGACGCTCTAATCTAAGAATCTGCGCAGAGCATATGATATCATTCTGAGGTCCCGCCCCCTCCTCCAGCTGCAGGGAGTGTTCATGAGAATGATCAGAACTCTGACAGATGCTGACCATCAGTGATGACAGTCGGCTGTGGAGCCCCGACCATCAGATTCTGCGTTCCTTCTTCAAAGGCAGCGACAAGTCATGACATCCGGGGACTCGCCCGCAGAGCTGACAATCCATCGGAGAAAGCTGTGACTGGAAGCTGCCGGTTGCCTCTGAATCAGAACTTTCTCATCCTCGTCGCAACGAACATCCACCAAGGTGAGTGTCTACCGGCTGATACCGTCCCTTTAAGGGCCATTTAGATGAATGATTGTGCCTAGAGGGGGCCGTTATTTGTAGAGTTAGTCATGTGACAATGTGCGTCCCCTTTGTGCGGTGACATGCGTCATTGACGCACATGCGTTTTATAGCTTAGAATTAAGAATGGATAGAGATGAGAACTGGCCAAGGTTTGTTAATACCTGTTACCAACACATCAAAACGCATGTTCATTCATTTCCATTGAGGTCTATGGGCCACCCAACGCAGAGTGATGGGCACTATTTTTAGTATGGGGAAGCTGGACACATGCGTTTACAGCGTGTTGTAACGTGTGTAATAAAATGCAACAATATAAGTTGTCCTTCAGTCAGTGCGTGTTCTTTACATACATTGTATCTTCCATAACCCCAGCCGACGCACAGGAATGCAAAATACATTACAAAGTGTGACCTAA